CTTTCCCAATGGCTGTCTACATTAGGGGTGAAAAGGGGAGAAATGTGAGAGCTCACATGTACCTTAGTGAAAAGACACTTGATATACCTTGAAAACCAAAAAGAGTAAAATTAAATTAAATTAAATTTAAACTATTTGCATTAATAAGAACATTTAATATACTGGATGGATACAAAAAAACCCCATAAAGTCAGTAGCTTTCCTGTTGCAAAAGAAAATATAGTGGGAAAAGATTCCATTCATGATAGAAACAAAAAAATAGACACATACATTCATACTCACAATAACTAGAAATAAACAACAAAAACTATGCAAGACCTATGGGAAGAAAACTACAAACCTCTATTGATGGATGTAAATGAAAAAATTAATAAATGGAGAGACATATCAGGTTTTTGGATAGGAAGACTAAATTCTTTAAAGATGACAATTCCTCTTTAACTTATTAATGAGTTTAAGGTAACCCCAATGGGATTTTTTTTCATTTAACAAAATCATTCTAGATTTCATCTTGAAGAACCAACAGGTAAGAACAGCAAATAATTTTTTAAATGTATTAAAACATTATCATACTATATATAGCGCTAGTGGTATAAGAATAAATAGATCAATTGAGTCAAACAGATAACTGCAAAACAGTAACTGTCATATGTAAGAATTTAAAGTAGGCTAGTAAATCAATCAGGAATGAAAGTTCTATTTATAAATTATTAGCTATTTCGAAACAAAATCAAATTGGATCCTTTCTCCACATAAAAATATAATTCCAAATGGAATTAAAGAGTTAAGTATAAACTAACCAAACCATAAATTTAAAACAAAAATTGAAGTGAAGTTTTATGACATCTCTGCAGGTCAAAGAACTTTCTAAGTTGGGAAGCAAAGGGGGAAATCAAACACAAAGTAGTCAAGTGACGGACTTGACTACTAAAAATGTTAATTTTTTGTGTGTCAAAGAAAAGTAATGGCAAACACCAAACTGAGAAAAGATACTTTCAATAGATCAAGGATTAGTATATAAACACTCATTAAAAAAAAAAAAAGAAAAAAGAAAAAGGGCTCCCCTGGTGGCGCAGTGGTTGGGAGTCCGCCTGCCAATGCTGGGGACGTGGGTTCGTGCCCCGGTCCGGGAGGATCCCACGTGCCACGGAGCGGCTGGGCCCGTGAGCCATGGCCGCTGAGCCTGCGCGTCCGGAGCCTGTGCTCCGCAACGGGAGAGGCCACAACAGTGAGAGGCCCACGTACCGAAAAAAAAAAAAAAAAAAAACAAACCTCATAGTGTGTTAAGAAAAATAGTAAGATCCAAATGGTTAAATAGGCAAAGTACTCAAAGAGCCAATTCATGAACAAGGAAATACAAGTTTACCAACCATACAGACACTCAATCACTAAAGAAATATGAAATAAAGAGTGAGACACCAAATTTCAAGAAGAATTTTTTTTTTAACAAGAATACCCATTTCTAGGGATGGTGCGGTGAGACAGACACTTTCATGCAGTACTGGTGAGCATATATATAAACTGGAATAACCATTTAGGAAAAAATATTTGGTGATCATGTATACATCAAGAATCTTAAGCTGTTCATGTTTTCTGATCTAAAAATTGCACATCTTGAAATTCATTATAAGGAAGTCATCATAAATACAAGGAAACCTTTATGGATAGAAATATGAATCATGACGGAATTTATAAGAGCAAAAAACCGGAATGATTCAAATGTCTAAAAATAGATGACTGGTTAAGGAAAATATAGTTGGACTGGTTGGACTATCATGAAATCATTAAAAATAATGTTTTAAAATCATTTGTAAGAACATTATATAAAAATGTGTTTTTTTCACATTAAGTGGAAAATGCAGCAGAATACAATAGTGTAAGAGCACATATGTTTATAAAGCAATTTGTTTTATTAAAATACAGAAGAAAAAACACTTAATTTTCAACAATAATTGTCTTTAGGTTATAAAACTATAGATGATTTTCCCTCATTTCCATTATCTACATTTTAAAAACTTTCTACAATATGAATAAGTGTTTAGGAACTATTTTTAATAGACTTATACCAAAATCTAGATTTACTTATTGAAAATAACTGGAAGAAAAACTTCTCGCTTTAAATGAAGGTGAGCAATCCTATAAATGGAAAATTTCTTTAATACTTTATGAGATTCAATTTCCCAAAATGAACAGAGGAAAAGGCCTTATCTAAAGGCCAGGATTGGGGGTTCAGAACTGGGGAAAGGAGCAAACCTAGTTAGAAAGTATAGTTTAAAGTAGAGTTCGAAAGGCATATGCAATGTGTTATTTCTACAATAAAAATACAGAAACTGAAGCTCAACCAAACCTTCTTGGATAATGAGAAGAAACAAAAGACAGATTGAGAAACTATTCTGAGTGAACCCTACAGTCAAATATATGTTTGTTAGCTATACCTTGCTGTTCATATATATATGACACCATTTACATTGTTATTTCTGCTGTATATCATAACCATAGATGTTTTGGTTTAAAATGAGTATGTGGTTTGTTTCAAAATAAAATTTGATTTTGTTACTACAGCGTAGTAGTAAAAAGGAGGAAATGAAATGTTTACGTTTATCAAAAGGGATCCTTGGCTCAAAAAAGGCTGAGAAACTGTCATAAAAGGCAATGTATCCTTGTGTCTTTCCTCTGGAGCGGTCTGGCCATCACCCTCCAGGACTCACAGGCCTCAGTGTGCCCATCGAAAGATATGCTAGGGGGACTCCCAATTTGCCAACAATTTTCTGCTACTTCATAAGGAGGTGTGCACGGAGAACTAAGAGTCATAAAAACTGCATTTATGCAAGATTTATGAAAACTTAACTTGAGAAATTCCCACCTGCCTAAATTAATACCTTATGCAGTTCTGGCCTACGTGGGAAAAAGGCTAAGATTATCCTTCTCTCTTGCATCTTTTACCAACTGTAATCTTATGCAGAAGGTAGAACATACATTACTATTCCTGTTTTACAAATATGGAAACCAAGACCCAGAGAAGTTGAGTGATTTCCCCAGAGTCCACACCCTGGCCTCCTGATATCAGCCCAAAAGCTTTCTGCAGTAAAGAACAGTATTTGTCTTGACAGTTCATTCATTAATTCAAAACCGTTTATTGAGCACCTATTGCGTGCCTCACAATGCCTGTTACGTGCCAGGCTGTGTTCCTGGTGTGGGAGACAATGTCCCTGTCCTCACGGAGATTACATTTTAGCAGGAAAGCCCAGCAAGACATAAGTAGACAAGCAAATGTCAGATAGTTTAAAGTTCCCTGAAGAAAAATAAAGTGATGGAGTGTAACTGGGACAGGGAGAGGGCACTTATTTTAGATAGGATGGTCAAGGAAGTCCTCTCTGAGGGAAGAGGCAGAAGGAATAGTTAAGTGCAAAGATCCTAAGCAGGGAGCAGCTTGGCAAGCTCGAGAAACAACAAAGAGGCCAGTGTGTCTGAAGTCTTAGGAGCATCCTGCCACACACTGTCCCCCCTGCTCTTCCACCCCTTCCTAGGCTTCTTTTGTACCTTATTTTTTACCTCTAGGTTAAGGGGCCCATTACCTCTTTTGTCAGCTTCCCTAAAGAAGCCCCTTTCACCAGTCTACTCACTCCTTCACCTTCTTTTGATAAGAAAAGAGCCTAGGAATACTAGTTGGCTTTCACTGACTGTCTCCAGTTTCCACTTGGGAAAAACAATAATATAAAGGAAACGTAAGATCTGAGCCCAAGAGATTCAATAGCTTGCACGTATTGCCCTGGAAGCTTTTATAACAAATGTATCTAGCGTGGCCTGAGAGTTGCCACAAACATGTCTTGACCATTTAAAAAAACACAATAAACAATGAAAATCCTCTAACACCAGGCTCAATACAATCTCTCTTCAATGACCCAGAAGGAACTTCAAAACCTTGCAGTGTATCATCAGACACCGAAATTACTACTAAGCATTTTCCCTCATTTTGTTTCTGTCTAGAAGTTACTGTGCAGGGCTCGTGTTTTCGTGGATGTTTTTGTCCTGCTAACAAAGAGTGATCGAGCTAGGTACTTCCGTAGAAATGCCCTGTGAGTACTTAAAGATATAGACTGAAAAAAACAAAGAATATAATAATAATACTGAGTACCGAAAGAAACAGACTGAAAAAATAATAATATAATAATAATAACAACAACAACAACAGCTTACTTTTACTGAACATTTAGTATGTGTCAGGTCCAGTGCTAAATTTTCTACCTGCGTTATGGCATTTAATCCTCACACGCCTATGAGGTAGGTAGTAATATTATTTACATTTTATGGACAAGAAAACTGAGGGGCTGAGAGGTTAACTTGCCAGAGTCAGCATCAGACCAGCACAAGATTAGGTCTCAGATCTGCCTGACTCTGGAGCCCTGAAGCAAAGATGAAGGTGCATCTGATTCAAAACGGGGCGTTAGACTAAGATGCTTAGGTAAAGAGCAAAACTGAATCATACAAGGGTGTTTTCCCTCCATTCCCTTTATGACTATTGTCAGTCCAAGCTTTTATCAAGAAAGGCCCTATTTCTGAAACCCCCCTCTGCCTGCCAACTCCTCTAAAGAAAACTCAGTAAGTAGATCCAGAGAGGTGGTTTTATTCAGAAACATCCCTCTCTCTGCATCCTGACCTAACTGGTATTGATGTCTTAAAGTAATAGATTCAGTTTCTTAGTCTTCTTCCTCTCCTTGAATTTGACGTTCCTTTGGGAAGGCACCTCCAAAGCCATTTCAAGAGAGCTGGAGAGAGAGGCTTCTCCTTCCCTGAGGAGCTGGTGGCCCCAAAGCTGGCCGCTCCACCATCATCGCAGGCCTCCACCTTGCTGGCCTCTATTAGAGGTCAAAACTGAAATCGGGAGCCTGAGTCCTTTTGGCAGCAAAGGTAAATTCTACACTGCGTTTCCCCACCCCAAAGGGCATCCGCCGGGCCTGGGGCCGCGCGGTGGGCAGTGGAGGCTCCCACCATGTACTCACAGAACACACAGGCAGTACACTCCCGGGACGCTCTCGCTGTCCCTCAGCAAATAGCTGCCGTCCAGACCCGTGGCAAGCAGGAGCTTCTCCCCCGTCTCCCGGCTGATTTTGCCATGATACACAGCCACCGCCTCCATGGCCTGGGGAACTCTTGGGAGGACCTAGGCGTGGAACGGCAGCGGACAGATGCCACCGCTGCTGCTGCCGCAACCCAACACGAGTCAGCCACCCGCCTCCCAGTTCAGCCAGATGTGCAAAAAAGAGAGAGAAGCGCCCGAACAACAGGATGTTGTCTACCTGCCTGAAAACCTCCCTCTCACGGTTCAATTAAAACCAGCTCAGCAGTTTAGCAGCTTGGTTATTGCCGTAGGGTTCCATCCCCCTCCCAGGCCCACCCACGCAACACAGGGTTCGGATGGACGGGTGGACAGAGAGGGGTGGACAGAGAGGGGAGGACCATTGGACTTTGCAAGATTTGGCCTGTACTCCCAACGCACGCAGACAGGAATGCTTGGTAATGCTCCTGTCCTTGCGGTTTTCCCAGGGGGCCACCATGACTTAGCTTAACTAACTGACTTAACTTAATTAGCTTAACTAATCAGTCCCCAAAGGGGTTGATGATAGAGGCAAGTTGTACATGACCTTCATGTGGGGCAGAAACATACTGACAGAGAATGAAAGGCCCCAAAGTTCTGAGACCAAAACACAGAAGCTCTCAGTACTGTCGGTGAACAGACACGCCTGAGCACAGCCAAGAGGCTCCTACAGAATCAGAAGTAGTAAGTGAACAGCGGACTTGGGACAAGTGCCTCCTCTCGCCCTGCCCTAGTCATCTCCAGCAATCTTGATCCTGAACAAATCAAAGTTTCCCAACCTTCTTGTCCAAGATCCCAAAGTGCTGGTTGAGGTACAAAAATCAGTCTGCATCCAAAAATGTTCCAGATTTATCTATTTGCTGGGCCTTAGATGAGAGAATAAACCATTTAATTGGTGCTTTGTCTTTATGTGGACTTGTATGTGCCCTTTGATGTATAGGGCCCACCTTTTAGCATTTGGGGCATTGAACTTGTTTTAAATCACACTGTGAGTGTTGAGAATTGTGTTGTAACTTTTATCATCTGTTGTTAATAGAGAATATGGTTTTAGTTCAGCTGATGCTAAACTATCATAAATTTTTTAGAACCTTTATTTCCTTCTCTCTTCTATTTCAAGATGTGCAGTTAATATTTCCCCCAAACTTCCTCCTTTTTCACTAGAACAAGACTTTGTTTAATGTTTGAAGCTGAACAGTCTTCTACATTTTTCCTTTTGAGTATGTAAAATAATTTTTTAAATTGGAATTTAAGTAGCCGAAGTTATGTTGTCTGTTGTATCTCTTCAACAACATCAGCACCTAGCTCCTTGAGAACCTGGTACAGCTGGGAGCCCAATAGGGAGAACAATTTTTTTTTTTTTTGCGGTACGCGGGCCTCTCACTGTTGTGGCCTCTCCCGTTGCGGAGCACAGGCTCCAGACACGCAGGCCCAGCGGCCATGGCTCACGGGTCCAGCCGCTCCGCGGCATGTGGGATCTTCCCAGACCGGGGCACGAACCCGCGTCCCCTGCATCAGCAGGTGGACTCTCAACCACTGTGCCACCAGGGAAGCCCAGGAGAACAATTTTTAAATCTTCACTAGTCCTACAGATGGATCAGATGTGCAGAGTTGCCTTACGCCAAAAGCCAGATATTTGCTGTCCATCTGCTAGGGTTGAAAACAATCCTCTACGATTTCAGTGGCAGCTCGTAGTTACTCTCCTTGATTGATGCATACTCGGCCTTAGCATCTATCAACCTTGGTAGATAAACTGTAAACATAAGCCTCCTACATTCATTTGCAACACCAAGAATAAAAAAATAAAACAGCATTCAAGATGATGTTGGGGGATGGCTCTGGGGAACTGAGCCAAGATTTGTCTCATTATCTGCCTACCTCACTTGCTTATGGCCAACTCCACCTCTCACCGTTTTTCATGCTTTGGGTCAAGGAAGAAATTGATCTGATAAGTGAATGCATACACCAATGTTAAGTACTTGAGAAGTTAGTCCACCCTGAACTCTTTATGTTTTGAGTGGGCAAATGATTAGCCCAGAGTGGTGGAATTTCAAACCCGAAAGGAGAAGATAGGGAAGGGGATCCCCACATTCACTCCCTATGGACAACAGCCCACCTATGAGGTGAACTGTGAGAACATTCAGTGTCACATAGGCAAAAACAAAACCTAAGCTTTTTTGTCTCTGAACAACCCTGAACAAATCATCCACAAATTTAGGAACAGGGCAACCTCAAGCTGACAGCAAAAGCGTACCATGCATTCTTCTTTTCGTTCTCTGTTTTGTCCTGTGTTGCTAAAATAGCACGCCTGTCAAAGCAGCCAGGTACGATGGGGTTCAGCACAACTAAAACTGTATAAAAAAGGAACAGATAAATTATAAGGTAATAGTACAACTCTCACATCCCGTCCCTCGCTGTCATCTCACAAGCAGCCTGACAGCTGAGCCAGCCCACTACTGCAGTGTTGATGAAAAATACTATCTTCACCCTAGTGCTACATCAGTACTAAACCTGACTTTAGCAAATTCAAAACCTCACGCTGAGCTTGAAGTACAGAGAAAGAAGAATTGTAATGGCTTTCTTCTCTCTCACCATACCCACAAGAGAGGAAAGGGCAAAAAATACAAGAGGGGAGCAATAGAGATAGCAGAGGCACCAATAGAGAAAGACTTAGGAAGAATGGGCCCCGTGATACAAATATAGCTCCCTTAGAAGCAGAATTATCTGATTGTTTATTGTCTGTCTCCCCCACTAGAACATAGGGTCCATGATGGCTAGATTTTGTGTACCTTGGTCACCATTGTATCCTCAGTGTCTGGAACATATCAGATGCTAAATGTATTTGCTGAGTGAGTGAATGAATGAGTGAAATTAGTGCTCTCAAGAAAATAAGAGGAAAAAATATACACATGCACACACACAAATTTGGTTCTATGTGCCTCTGGCCCACTCTTGAAATAGCAAGATGAGCTGGAAGCACTGGTCCAGCAATTATGAGAGTCTGATTATACTCCATATTTTGCCACTAAATCACTTCCTCTCTCTGAGCCTCATTTTCTCCATCTGTCAAATGGAGTTGAACCAGATGACCCCTAAGGCTACTTCCAACTTTAACATTCTGTGCTTTAAACGAAAGCCAAGCATACTTTAGAGAGAACCAGAGGGGGGAATGGACTGAACTCATTTGTGTGCAAGAAGCAAGAGCTGTTTCCTCAGGTCTTACCCAATAGAGGAAAGATTTTTGTTCTTGTTGTTTTTAAATAACCTAAGAAATAAAAACCATGAGGTAGAGGAAGAGAGCTTCACAGCTTAAAGCAAACTACAACCTTTTAGAATATAAATGCCATTTAAATCAAATATAAAAGCACTGACAAACTGTCAGCCAAGGTCAAAAGTATCTTCTTATCTAAACTTGTCACCTCCTAAGGTCTCTGAGAGGTGACAGCATTTTGTTTGTGGATGCCCTGTCTGAGGTGCTAATTGCCTTCATTTCAAATGCCCTAGGCTACTCTCAAACCCAGATAGATTAAAAGGATGATGGCAAGGGTGGTTAGTTTTATAGAGTGGATCTGACATTTCAAAATCTTTTTCTCTAACCTTTCAAAACTAACTTTGTTCTTCAACTAGCTCATCTATAGGTGTGAATTCTCCTGTGACAGTGTTATGATATTGTCACCTGTGGTGAGTTTACACATTCTCTCTTACTAAAATTGACTTCCTTTACAAAAATGAGAAAAGAAAAAAATTACATCTTTTAAAAAAAAGAGCACCTCCTTTTGATATGTTGGTTTACCTATGAGGTTAATTTTCCTAATGCCCTTTTGTAAGTGAAGATTCAGAAACAGTGTTGTGTTTATTTAAGCCTTCTAAAAATATGTTTATTCTTTCAACCAACATTTATGAGCATCTACTGTATGATGGACACTGTGGTAGGTACTTAGGTTAGAGAGAAGAAAAGCATATACCTGATCTCAAGTAGCTCATAGTCTAGTGAAGACAGACAAGCAAGCAAACAATTACAATTAACTCAATAAGAGCTGCAACAGAGGGAAGGATGGGGCTCTAGAGGCACAGTAATGGGACATTTAACTCAACTTACATTCTAAACCTGCACAACCTGCTCAAGACAGCAATGTCTTTATCTTTCTGTCTGTTATGTACAGTTCCTTTCACTTGTCCTAAGTTTAGCTCCTTCATGACTCAGAAGGTACTCCCTAATTCTAGCTGAAACTCTGCCTGCTTCTGAGGTTTTATTCTTGGAATAATAGCTAATACATGTTAACTGAATACTACATTCCAGGCTTTCCTGCTAAGCACTTTGCATATATTATCTCATTTATTTATATCAACAACCTTATGAAGCAAATACTATTATTATCCCCATTTTACCAATGGGGAAGCCAGAACTCAGAGATCCTGGGTAGCCTGCTCAAGGTTTCACAACTGGTCAGTGTGAGGCCTGGGATTTGAACACAGGCAGCTGACTTCAGAGCCTGTGCATCTCACCATATCCTCTTCTGTCTCCCAATATTAATTCTGAGGTCACTGCACCGGATTGGTCAGGCTTCAGTTTCCTATCTAGCAACTGTAATTTTGACTTCTAGAATATTCTTCTCACACTTCTCAAGTGTCAAATGTTCCCATGCTCCGACTTGTAGCATGTCTATGTCTATCTATATATGCCTTATGAGATCAGATACACTGCTCTATCCTGGGCCTCATTGGTCAGTACGCCTTGGAAGGCTCTTCCAGAGTCAAGGTCTATTCATCCAGGCTTTAAGATCTGGGATCTGGATCATCAGCTTATCCATGCAAAGTAATAGATCCCTGAGTAGTTTGTTTGATTTTTAAGTGGTCTGGGCATCTTCTATCCTGGGAAGACCTGGATATACTGGTAAAATCTTATTGCCCAATTCTTTTTCTACACCAAATGAAGGCCACTCCTAGCCAGTTTTTACTTATCTTTCCCTGTGAAGATAAAATGAAATGACATATGTGATGTGCCTGGAAACTAAGAGACACTCAAAGTTTCTTTTCCTACTAGTCTGTGAACTCCTAGAAGACAGGGATGATGTCGTATTCCTCTTTACATACCCAGATCCTAACACAGAATCTGCACCTACTTAGCTCCCTTGCTTTCCCCTTCCTCTTTCCCTTCGTAGAGAACCCTTTGCAAATTTGTCGCAAGGAGTATATCATTTCTGACATTGACTTCTTTCACATCCACTG